CCAATAGGTAGACAAAATGCCAAATCCAGTCTGAACATCTGGCTGACTGTGTGATGAATGACAACAACAACAACAAAACAATAGTAGTATTAGTAATAATAACAACAACAACATGCACAGCATGACTCTATGGAACACTCTACTCTCATCCTTTTTTTCCAGAAAGTATTAAAACTTAGTTTTGCCAGTTTACTTGGAGCCCCAAGGAGTGCACTCACCACAGGAGGTAGTTAATGGGGTAAGAAGGCCTCATCTTTATACCATCCCTCTCTTGGTTCCTGTTTTTTTGCATAGTTTTAAATTTTTAATTTGGATGGTTTAAAAATTTTAACTGTTTTTCCATTATATTTTTTATGATTTGCAAGTCACATAGAGTCACCTTATTGGGGAGCTGGGTGGTATATAAATGTAATAAATAAAATAAAATGTATTAGATAATAAGTATCACAAAGAATAGCTAGCAATCTCTTGATTTATTGACTAGGACTAAAGTCATTCTAGATTAAGCAACTTTCAGCTGATTCACAACTGGTTAACGACGTGAGTATTTTTTCAAGTATTTTTCTTCAATTTCAACCCCTAAGAATGGAAGACATTGGTGGAAAGATATTATATCTAGATCTCAATTTACTAATTGAAAAAGGAATAATCTACTTTGTGTATTCTCTGTTTATATTTAAATCAAATATACAATCACAATTGTATCAATTTTCCCCTTTCCCACTGCAAAAAACATTCCTCATAAACAGCCATTTACAAAATGCTCACTAATGTTTCCAAGATGTATATTGGTAGCCCTTCTGATTTGCATAGAGAAGGGGGCTGGTTTTACAGATAGGACTGAGAAAGATTATAGTGTATGGTTTCTGGAGAGCTGTTGCCAATTCATGGATCTGATACAGCATAAAATTCTCATTTTCCTGTTCTAGAAGACATTACTTTTTTCCTGACAAATCGTGGGGAATTATCATTCAAGAAGAAAAATTGCCAGGTTTTTTTTTTTCTAGTGACATTACTGTATGTTATACACCATGACCCCAAATCATAATCTATATACAACTTTGTCTCAGCCCCTGAAAAATCCTGGTGAGGACTACAGCTTCATCAAGATGCCAATGATGTTGTAAGAAATTCCCTTAGGGTCAAAGAATCTCCATTTCAATTGCTTACAGTCCTGATTGATTGTGTGTCATCAAGTGTGCCTGGCTGAGGAATTCTGGGAGTTGAAGTCCACAAGTCATAAAAGGATCACGTTGGAAGACCCCTGGCCTAAGCGTTTGTTAATTAAGACCCTGCCTTGTGAATTGAGTCTGGCTTTTGTAATTTTATCTCCATGTTCCTGTAAGTGTGTAGGGTCTTTCTGTAATATTACGGCTAGATGGATAGTTTGCAATTTTATTTTACCAAAGCAAAGACAAATAAATTACCTTTGCTCCATGACCTAAATGGCTTTATATTTTAAAATATATAATGTCAGGTATCTTCTTGTTTTTTCTCATGACAAACCATTTAGTTATTCAGACTGTGAGCACATGCTGAAGTGTTGTTCCTTGCAAAAAAATACTGTAGGCCATTGTGAAGAGGCAGCATGAGAAAGATGACTAAACTTAAAAATGATATTAGAACAAAATGTGCATAGAAGCAAGAGCAAAGCTTTTTACAGGGATTGGCCACAAAGCAACATGTTCAGTATGACCAATGGATTGAAGGGCAGAGTTTAAAAATAAAAACATTGGAAGAGGAAAAATAACACCAAGCAATGATTCATATGCACTTGTTTGGTTTGTAAACTGCAAGGAAAAGGTCATAATCCCCCAAAATTATTTTCACATTATGAAGAGTTTGTGTGTGAAGACATCCTAAAAGCTGAATTTTATAAGAAAGCAGTATTCAGAGATGAGATTCACAGCTTGCAGTAAATCATAATGCATTCTGTTTGGATTAATGTGATCTAAGAGTCCTGCTATTGTGATCTGGGAATCATTATTTTTACATCTTACTGCAATCTGTAATCCCAACAACTGACATTTATTTTGCATGCATTTTAAAAGCAAAAAATTAGCTTAATGTGTCAATACAGCCAATTGTAAAAGAGATTTTTATATTGCGTACAGCCCCATGGGCACTGTTAGAAAAGAAAAATGATAGCCCTCATTTTGTTTGGAAATATGACCACCTGGTGAGAGAAAAGCCAGAAAACAGATAAAAGTAAGAAAGAATCATCTACGACCAAACAATGGCAGAAATCAACTTCCTCAATTTTCCTTCTAGTGAGTTTTCTAACTGGCTGTACCTTCATGTACTTTGTGGTGGCTAATTTATAATAAACTCAGTTCAATTTAATTTACATGTAGTCCTCATTTAGGGACAATTGGGACTGGCAACTCAGTCGTTAAGCAAAGTGGTTGCTAAGTGAAACCGCAACTGTGCTTACGATCTTACTTTAGCTTTCCTTTGCTTTATAGAGCTTGCTTGTAAATAATGTCAACAAAAAACCCAAAATCAAAAATCCAGACTTTGTTGTTTTACACAAGCAACTCAGCAGTGAAAGTATAAACTACACAACCTACTATGTGATAAGATAGAAAAATGTGGGTTAAAGAGCATCACCGATGGATTCGTAACTGGGTGACCAACTGAATTCAACGTGCAGTCCTCAAGGGAACTGCATCTACATGGGAAGTATGCAGTGGGGTTCCCCAAAGCTCTGTCTTAGGCCCAGTACTCTTCAATATCTTCATCGATTTAGAAGAAGGGATAGATGGGAAACTCATCAAATTTGCAGATGACACCAAGTTGGCAGGAATAGCTAACACTCCAGAAGATAGGCTTAAGATACAGAAGGATCTTGACAGACTTGAACATTGGGCGCTATTTAATAAAGTGAAATTCAATGGTGGAAAAAGTAAGGCTCTACGTTTAGGCAAGAAAAATCAAATGCACAGGTATAGTATAGGTGGTACCTGGCTCAATACTAGTAATTATGAGAGGGATATTGGAATCCTAGTGGACAATCAATAAATATGAGCCAGCAGTGTGCTGCAGCTGCCAAAAAGCCAAGGCAGTCAGTCTTAGGGTGCATTAATAGAGGGATAGAATCAAAGAATTGGAATCAGAATAGAGCTGGAAAGGACCTTGGAGATCTTCTAATCCAGTGGTGGTAAACCTATGGCACATGTGCCAGAGGCGGCACTCACAGCCCTCTCTGTGGGCACGCGCGCCATGCCACGGAGATGGCAACCGTCCCTCTTCAACCAGCTGCATGCTAACTCGCCAAGGTCCCACATGGCTGGATGCATCCCAGCACCCATGTGCTCACTGGTCTCTGTGTGCAGGGGCTGATGGTGTCAGGCAGCAGCTGCCCCGGCCCCTGCCTCGCCTTTCCCTGTGACAATGGCACCCCTGCCCTGCCCTGCCCTGCCTTGCCTTGCCTCACCCCGCAGGACAAGCCTCCTACCCACTGCCCCACCTGCCAGAGACCCCCTGGATCTCCCCCAACCCTGCCCGGCCCCCACAGACGTCCCTCCCCACGAGCAACATCGAGATGATCATGCCCACCTTGGCCACTCCCACCCAATCTGCCATGACCACTGCAGCCATGCCCACCCAGCGAGACATGCCCACTTGGCACCCGGCAATAAATGAGTTTTGGGTTGCAGTTTGGGCACTCAGACTCTAAAAGGTTCACCATCCCTGTTCTAGTCCAACCCCCAGTTCAAACAGGAGATCCTATACCATTTCAGATGATTGTCCAAGTCTCTTCATAAAAACCTCCAGTGATGAAGCGTCCACAATATCTGGAGGTGAGCTGTTCCACTGGTTAATTGTCCTCACTGTTAGGAAGTTTCTCCTTAATTCCAGATTGCTTCTCTCCTTGATTAGTTTCCATCATTTCTTGTCCTGCCCTCTAGTACTTTGGAAAATAAATTGACCACCTTCTCCTCTTTATGGCAACCTCTTAAATACTGGAACACTGCTATCATGTTCCCCCCTAGTCCTTCTTTTCTCTAGACTAGTCAAATCCAAATCCTGCAACCGTTCTTCATATGTTTTAGTCTTCAGGTCTTTAATTATCTTAATCTTCTTTGCACTTTTTACAAAGTCTCAACATCTTTTTTGTAATGTGGTGACCAAAACTGGATGCAGTATTCCAGATGTGGTCTTACTAAGGCTTTATAAAGCGGTACCAACACTTCATGTGATTTTGATTCTATGCCTCTGTTTATACAACCAAGGATTGCATTAGCTTTTTTGCCTGCTGCTGCACATGGCTGACTCATATTTAACTGATTGTCCAATAGGACTCCAAGATCCCTCTATCACTTACTGTTTTTGAGCCAGGTTTCGCCTAATCTATACTTGTACCTTTGTTTTTTCCTGCCCAAGTGTAAAACTTTGCTTTTCTCCACATTAAATTTCATTTTGTTGGATAGAGCCCATTGTTCAAGTCTGTCAAGATCTTTTTGATCCCGAGCTTGTCTTCTGGGGTGTTAGCTACTCCTGTCAGCTTAGCGTAATTTGCAAATTTGATGAGTTCCCCTTCTATTCCCTCATCTAAGTCATTTATAAAGATACTGAAGAGTACTGGGCCTAAGACAGAACCTTGTGGTACCCCACTGCTTAATTCCCTCCATGTAGATGTAGTACTGTTAAGGACTGACAAACCACAGTCCTAGATCGTCCGGAATGAGGGTCTGGAACGCAGGAACTTGGTGCACGTTAGCAATTTTTTATTTACTAACTGACAAAGTCAGCACTGGGGATAACTTCTCCCCAGAGCTCTTTATAATGTGTCCACGCCCACACCCCCACCCTCCACCCACAAACCACCATCCGGTTCATCATCCTTATAACCCCACCCCCGTGCCCTAACCCCCCTCCCCGTGCAGCCCCATCCCCTATGGTCCAGCGTCCACCCGCCTGCTGTTGTTGCCGCACGTTTGCCGTCTCCAGGTGCCACGGTAAGTTAATGTTCTCAGCCGCTAACTGTCCAGCCATACCGAGAGTAATGTGCGCCTCCTTCCCTTCTAGGGCCGTGCCGGGGTTGGCTTGTTGCTGGGGGGGCCGCTCTGGGTCGGCTGCGGGACTCTTCACTACGTCGGGGGGTGATCGCATGCCGCCCGACATGTCCGGCCGCCGTCCGTCCCCCCGCTGGCCAGTAGCATCCGCCGTTGGCTGGGAGGCTGCCGGCCGTTCCTGTGCTCCCAGCCGGCCCGCGAGGTGTTGCAGCCCGGTTCCAGCAACCCCTGTGGCGCTGGGAAGAAGTCTTACGCCGCCCGACGCAGCCGGTTCCCTCCCGCCTGCCAGCTGGGCGGCAGGACGCCTTGCAGCCGCGGCGCCGTCACTGATGCCTTGGGCCGGCTGGGAGGCGGCGGGCCGCTTCCCTGCTGCTGGCTCCTCCCCGCCTCTCAGCTGAGCGGCGGAACGCTCTGCAGTCGCGGCAGCTCCTCCGACCCCAGGGAGGGGGGCGGCAGGCTGCCTCCCGGCTGCCGGAGCTTCCCCGCGTCCCAGCTGAGCAGCAGAGCGTCGCGTAGCCGCAGTAGGTCGTTCCCCTCCTCCCGGCGAGCGGTTGCGGCGGTGCGGGCTGGGTCCGGGCCGGCGTGTAGGCGGGGGTGGGGTTGTTCGCTCCTTTTCCCCCCCACCGAATGGCAAGCCCCTTGGGGCTTGACATGCGGCTCCTCCTACCACGTCCTCACCTGCAAGAAAACGACAAGAGAGTGAGTTCCCTTGGTTGTGTTGTGCCTGGCCCGGTTTCTCTGGCCAGCGCTTGTGGAAAGCCCGTATGAGTCGTGGGGCATGCACGTCCCCCTCCCTCACCCAGGATGCTTCCGACAGTGGATATCCCCTCCATCGGATGAGGTATTGCAGTTGGCCCCGTCTCATTCGGGAGTCGATTATCTCTTGTACCTCGTACTCTTCCCCAATGACTGGTCCGGGCCCCTTCGTCCCCACAGCGGGTTTCGGTACTAACTTCAACAAGCTACTATGGAACACCGGGTGCACCTTTCCTAGAAGGGGGGTCAGCCTCAGGCGTACTGTGACTGGGTTGATTACTTTGGTCACTTGAAAGGGACCTACATATTTTGGGCCTAATTTCTTAGTAGGGACCGGCAGCCTAAGATATTTTGTCGATAAGTAGACCCAATCCCCCACTTTGAAGGGCGGGTGGTCAGTTCTTTTTTTATCGGCCTGCTTTTTGGTGGTTGCCTCTGCCTTTTGTAGAGCGTCTTTTATTACTCCCCAAAGTCCTGTTAATCGCGTCATCCACGCTTGGGGCATGTACCCATTACCCGTCCCGTCGGACCACTCCGGAAAGGGAACAAACTCCACCCCGTTCACCACCCGGAATGGAGCGAACCCGGTACTACTATGTATGGTGTTGTTGTACGCCACCTCAGCGAATGGTAGTAAATCCGCCCAGTCAGTTTGCTGGAGGGTGACGTAACAACGTAAGTACCGCTCAACCATAGCATTTGCCCTTTCCGCGGCACCGTTGGTAGACGGGTGGTAGGCCGAACTAAGACCTTGGGATGACCCAATTAAGGTTAGGAATGTGCGCCAGAATTGGGCCGTGAACTGTACTCCTCTATCTGAAACGACACGTCGTGGCACGCCGTGTAGGCGGTAAACATGCTGTACGAACATTCTGGCAAGCCGCTGCGCCGACGGCAACCCTTTACACGGGATGAAATGGGCTTGTTTCGAGAAGAGATCGACTACGGTCCATATCACCGTGTAGTTGCGGCTTGGGGGCAACTCCACAATAAAGTCCATTGCGATCTCTTCCCAGGGTTGTCGTGGATCTGCCACTGTCTGTAGTAGGCCCATTGGCTTTCCCACTCGAGGCTTCGCGGTAGCACATATGTGACAGGCTTTGACATACGTTTCCACATCTGGCTTTAGGCGGGGCCACCAAAATTGCCGTCGAACGTGATGGAGGGTTTTCAGGAAGCCAAAATGTCCTGCCTGCTTGGTGTCGTGGCACCTCTTAAGAACAACTGAGCGTAATTTTTCAGGGACATAGAGTTTGTCGGCTTTCCACGCTAGCCCATCCCTTTGGGTTAGTAGGCCTGGATGGTTCTGTAACCACTCATCATGCACTACAGCCTCTCGCAATTCTGGTAGTGTAACGGTGGTCGTTCGGGACGTCTTTATACCCGCTACCCTGTGAGTACAGGTAGGGATTATTGCCTGTACAATTTCCTCTCGATCACTATGGTACTGGGGAAGGCGGGAGAGTGCATCCGCAAGAAAGTTTTTCCCACCCGGTACATATTTCAGGGTAAACCGGAACCGAGTAAAATATTGGGCCCACCGTACGTGTTTTGGAGATAAGCGCCGTGGTTTCTGTAGCGCTTCAAGATTTCGGTGATCAGTCCACACCTCAAATGGGCGAGGGGAGCCTTCCAGGAGGTGCCGCCAGGTCATTAAAGCCCATTTGACGGCATAGGCTTCCTTTTCCCAAATGGCCCATCCGCGCTCTGTCGTAGTGAATTTACGAGACGTATATGCGCACGGCTGCAGTAACCCCTGTTGATTTGGTTGGAGTAAGACAGCCCCTACAGCTACGTCGCTTGCGTCAGCCTGGACGATGAACGGAGCATCGGGGTTTGGATGGAGCAATATTGGCTTCTTTGCAAACAGCGCTTTGAGTTCCTCAAATGCTTTCTGGCAGGCTATAGTCCATCCTACTGGCTGGCCAGGTCGTGGTTTACCTTTCAGGTATTTCGTTTTTAACAGTTCTGTTAAAGGGTGAGCCACGCCAGCAAACGACGGAATAAAGTGCCGGTAGAAATTGGCGAACCCGAGGAAACTTTGTAACTGCCTTCGGGTGGTAGGGGCCTGCCAATCGAGAACCGCTTTAACCTTAAGTGGATCCATTTCCACTCCTGTCGCTGATATGCGATAGCCCAGATAGTCCAGCCGCGTACGATGAAACTCGCATTTGGAGAGCTTGACGTACAATTTTGCCTCCAATAGTTTCTCTAATACCTGTCGTACCAAGGCAACATGCTCCTCCATAGTGGTGGTATAAATCAGGATGTCGTCAAGGTAGACGAGGACCCCCCGATAAAGGTGTTCGTGCAGTACTTGGTTTATTAACTGCATGAAGACGGCGGGGGCCCCCTGCAGTCCAAAGGGCATGACACGGTACTGGAAACTCCCCAGGGGACAGTTAAATGCCGTCTTCCATTCGTCCCCTCGTCGTATTCGTACACGGTAATACGCCTCCCGCAAGTCTAGTTTGGTAAATATCCTTCCTTTCCCTAACTGGGCCAGTAGGTCCTTCATAAGGGGGAGCGGGTATAGATGCTCCACGCACACAGCATTCAATCCCCGAAAGTCCACACAGAGACGTAACGATCCGTCTTTTTTTTCTCGGAACAATACAGGGGCCGCAACTCGAGACCGAGCTGGTTGGATGAAACCTCGTGCCAGGTTCACATCAATGAACCGTCGCAGTTCTTCCAATTCTGTGGGTGTCATGGCGTACATCCGAGGCTTCGGAAGTTTAGCCCCAGGTTCGATTTCAATGCCGCAATCCGTCGGTCGATGGGGGGGGGTAGTTGGTTGCACTCTGTTTCACTAAACACTGCAGCCAGGTCCTGATATTCGTGGGGAAACAGGTCCTCCCCTCCCCCAATCACTCCACCCACGGGGGTTGGTGTGTCCGTCCCTGGAACCCGACACTGACTGGGGGGTTGAGGTCCCACCCCCAAGCGGACTCTACGGTACCCCCCCTTCCCACCAGATAGTGGGCTCCCACTTATCTAGCCATGCCAGGCCGAGGATCACAGCCTCACTCATGGCCGGTGCCACGGCGAACCGGATGGTTTCCCAATGGGCTCCCAGCTCCAACCGTATGGGCTCGGTAATGTGAGTCGCCGGGCCCCCCCCCCCAGCAAGGAGCCGTCCACTTGTTCGAACCGTACGGGCCGGGCCAACCTATGTAGACGGATCCCATGCTCCAGAGCTAACGCCTGGCTGATTAAGCAACGGGTGCACCCTGTATCTATCAGTGCCTTACATTCCCACTGTTCCCCGGAGTGGGGACTCGTTAGGACTATAGGTAAAACGAAAGGGGCTATAGGTTCGCTTACCATCGGATCGTCGACGGGGTCGTCATCACTTTCCTCGTCGACTGGCCGATACTGCGCCGTCGCCATGGTATCCAGTGGTGTTGACGGGGTTTTTGGATGGGCTGCAGCTTTCGTCGCGTCGGGACCCTTCCGAGGCGTTTGCGCTGGGGCCCTCGGGGTGCCGGACACTCGTGGAGTGGGAGCCGGACACTCGGCCGCCCGGTGTCCCGGCTGATTACACCGGAAGCATCGAAACATCGTGCCACTGGATGGACCGGCCGATCTGGGGTAGCTAGCTGGACTGGCGGGTGGTCTCTGTCCGCTCTCCCTCGGCTTTCCCACAGGCATCCGTGCCTGACGGCCGTCCTGATGCCTCTGGACCTCCCTGAGATTGGTATCGAGGTCCACAGCTACGCGGAACCATTCCCGGAGACGGTTGGGAATGCCCCTGTAAATACATGCCTGGCGTAGCTCCTGATCCAGCCCGGCCCGGAAGTGATGAATTAGTAACCTATCCGGCCAGGCTGAAATGAGCCGGCCGGCTAGTCGCCGGAAGTCACGGACGTATTCTGCAACCGGTCTGCCACCCTGCCTCAGGGACAGGAGCTCCGACTCGGCCCGCTGAACCCGGGAAGAGTCCTCAAAGCGTTGATGGAGTGCCTCCAGGAACGAACCCACATTACTGAGTATCCTAGCGTGATCGCTGTATAGGTCGGCAGCCCAGGCCGCCGCCTCTCCCTGTAGCCCCGCTGTAACCCCCACTACCATGGCCCATTGGGACGGGTATAAATGGCCATAGCGGTCCAGGTGGCAAACTACATGGCTTAAGAACATTGCCAACCTGTCCGGATCCCCGTCAAAAGTAATGGGGAGGGCTGGCGGGCCCCATTGTTGACCCGGGGCCCCTTGCGCAGGTGGCACCACCCCACCACCTCCGGCCAATGTGGCTGGCCCAAGCACTGCAACCGGACTGTGTGCCCTTCTGCCAGAAGGCTGTGCCCAACCGACGGGGCCCATGCCAGTGGGCCATGATGCCGGCCCCAAAGG